GGGGTTCAGTGTCTTGCCCAAGGACACTTTGACATGTGTATTGGAGGCACCAAGATTCAAACCTTCAACCTTCTGGTTGGGAGGCAGGTGCCCTACCCACCGCACTGTCGCCTCCCCCGACATATATGTCACAATCTTAATTTTTTAAAAGTATTTTGTATGGTAAATTAAATGGACAATTTAGTGCTTTATAGTCATTTCAAATACATTTAAAATTACTTTGAGAAAATATTTGACATACAGTATAATATTAAATTCAAAGAATTTCAATATAAAAATTCAAACTTATGGTGCTGAAGATATAGACATCAAGCATTATAACAGAATGCTATAATAAAGACTTCTTGTGAAATAATTAATTTTAGCAACAAAGATATGATGTTTGATATATGGTCACTGATTTTCTGATACACTCATCATCTGTGGAATTTGAGCACCTCTGTGGTGTGAAGCAGTCCGACACACACCCGGGAACAAGTAAATAAAAACATCTGATGTGACCCAAGATATATTTTTATAAGTGAATGAATGAATGATTGAAAATAGGAATATAAAGAGGAAGGTAAACAGACATAGGAGCCAAATTATTGCACAAAAATAGTAGGTACTCCAAGCTGCACAAAACCTGACAATGTTAATGTTAGAAATAGTATCAGTCATTTTTTATCTCTTTACATGGTAAAACGATGGGTGGGGGGGTGGACTGAACTTACCTTAGCACACAATGACCTTTACATTTGCTACTACCCATTCACACATGCTGCCGGGCCACTGGGAGCAACTTGGGGTTCAGTGTCTTGCCCAAGGACACTTCACCACGTGCACTGGGAGGACCAGGGATCAAACGGCCATCCCTGCAATATTTAAACAAATATAGAGCTTTTCAGTGATTCAACATTTCTATACCAACTACTTACAACTATTTCTGGCACAGTTAAAGAAAGATACTGTATGTCTTTGTGTTTTTCAGTGAGAAATTGTTCCTGATCCCAACATGTAATAATTATAAAACTAAGCAATGAAAAACCTATAAAACAAGATAATGCGGTCTTCACACTCCTTATATTTAGCAAATATGTCACAACATAAAAATGTCTTAGTTCACTGCACCTCCAAGTGATATAAAACATCAAATGCAATTCATCCTCTAGAAGAATTGCTCTTCTGCACAGGAAAATGTGTTATTTTCTTTTAATCTCATGAATTGACTGTTCAGTCTAATGAGATAAAGCATTTGTAAAAGACAGTGACTTTTTTCATTGTACAATGTGGGCACACAGACAATAATATATTGTGCATTCATCTTTCTCTGCTTCACTTATCTCCCTGTTCAGTGTAGCTAATTTGTTGTTGCAGTGTTTTTTTTTTTTACCCATATCATCTAATGTGGTTCCCATGGGTCTGAATCACTTTTACTCCTGCTTTCAGTCTTGGCTGATATTTAGGAAAAAGAACATGAATTTCACTCCTGTTCTTGGCCACGGTGCGTGTACTGCAGTGCCTTACAGACCACATTAACTCAATGAACCCAGTTCACAAATTTCAACATAAGACTCTGATATGAATAAGAGGTGGGAGTGAGAAGTGATGTATGACAGTTCACTAAATCATCGTTACCATCTCGGTGTGTGAACGATACAGTATCTGAATGAAATGGACATAGTGAGCCTTGCTTGTGACTTGAATGCATTTAAACTGTTGCCTTAATACATATCATCTGTTTTGATGCTAAAAACATCACCTTCTTATATTTTGTCTGCAACTCTTTTATGACCATTATGTTTTCATTTTGATACTGGCATAAAACAATATTTCCAGCGCCTCTTTACAAAACATAAGTGCCTTACGCCCTCTAGTGGGAACCAAATGCAATTATATATCTAATTTCAATTATATCCAAATTTGTGTTGGTGTGATGTCACTGGCACAGAGACCCTATCTCACTGAAATGATCAATAGCTCACAAATTAGCTTGGAGTTTTGTTTTCAAATAAATAAAACTTGAGGGCCATTCACTTCAAGCAGAGTCGTTTTAATGCAATGTTAAAAGGAACTGAAGTTTTGCATACAGCAGAATAATCAAGTCTCATCCATCCCCACATCCAGCAAGGCAGGTAAAGCAATTGGCTTATTAGCACAACAGCAGTGAGCACATACTGAAGAAGCAGTGTTTAAAGTGATTTACATTAATTTTACAGAGCAGTGCAATAGGCTAAAAGTTGAATCTACAATTAACAGGTTAAAATCAGAGCTCACTCAAGGTCAAAGTTTGCAGTCACTGGTTTATTAAAGCAATAGTTTTGTTCTTTGGGTCTGGGTAAACAAGGAAACCAGAGAACGTACTGTCATCTTCACTGCTGGAATAAACTCCGTTCCAGTCTCTCAGCGTCTCCAGCCATACCTGGTCTCCTTGCTCCATCGGCAGCAGTGCGAGGCTGGATGCCTGATCAATGTCCTGGCCATACAGAGAATCCCGTGTCCGCAGCTTCCGTATCCCATTAACCACCAGAGCTGCACGCACCGGCCGGTTGCGCACAGTGATGTGGTAACTGAATAAGTAGACCCCTGGATAGGTGACATTGAACTTATAGAGTGTTGTGTCCCAGTGCCCCTCACCATTATAAAACACCTTATCAAACTTCACAGGCAGGCCAGGTGGAGGGAAGGATCTGCTGGGGAACAAACCCACACTGAAAGCAGAGCGAACCTGCTCCACACTCTCACCTGGGGAGCCTTTAGGGCCCCGAAGCCCACGCCCACCTTTAGGTCCCCTCTCCCCTTTTATCCCTATCATGCCCCTCCCACCTGGAGGTCCTGGAGGCCCTCTGGCACCAGTATCCCCTTTCCCTCCTGGAGGCCCCGACTCCCCTTTCTCTCCCTTTGCACCATCAAGTCCATTCACCCCTGGGTGTCCCATTTCACCTTTTGGACCAGGGAGCCCCTGATCACCCACTTTACCTTTCTCACCTGGTAAACCTTCACCTGGAAGTCCCTGTTCACCTTTCTGACCCTTTGTCCCAGCTATACCTGGGGGACCCATGGGCCCCTGTTTCCCAATGCTGCCCTCAGTCCCATTGAGGCCAGGCTCTCCTTTTTCTCCTGGGTCCCCTTTCAAACCGCTGGAACCATGTTCACCTTTTTCTCCTTTAGGGCCTGGATCACCTATAGTGTGTGGAGAGGTTATATTCACAGAGGAAACATGTTTTAGAATCCCTCCATTTTCACATAGTAATGTACATTCACATACATGTATAGGTTGCATTTATACATATTTAATCAAATTTAATTCAGTCTGAAATTTCTAGTTAATATTTTCACAGACAACTACAGACCTTTTTCTCCTGGTTTTCCTGAGATCCCAGGAGTACCAGGAAGACCCACAGGTCCTTGAACACCTTTTTCACCTGTGATATTTTTTGATAAATATAGTGTAGAGAATGACATCCACAAAATACATAACAGAGTTTATAAAAGGAGAGAGAGGTAGAGACAAAGAAAAAGAGAGACATTCAAGAACACTCTTATTATTACACTCTGTTGTACCTGTGCTGCCGTTGAGTCCACTGGCTCCGGCTAGTCCTGTTGGTCCTTGGGGTCCTCTGGGCCCTACATCTCCCTTCGCACCTGTCAGCCCTAAAAAAATAGGGGAAGGTAAGGAAATGTGACATACAAATAAATTTTCTTAAAAAGAAAAATCCTTACCTGGAGGGCCATTCTCTCCTGGTGGTCCAGGTGGCCCTCTTTCTCCCATAGGCCCTACAGGACCGCTCTCTGGTGGACAGCACTCACAAAAGTTGTAGAAGCAGTCAGTATAGTCGAGAGTATAGTTTCCTTGGTTGTTCCCAGGAGGCACTATGGCATCAGTGTGGAATTCAGTCGAGTAAGTGTTGCTGGAGAACGTGTTGCTGTCTGTAGAGGACAAGGAGTAAGCGTCCATCATAACCTCAGTTGTCTCATCTGTGTGCAGGCTGCTGGAAGGGGACAGGGTGGTGGTCGGTTCAATTCCACCTCTCCCACCTCTGCCACTGCTCCCAGTATGAGGGGGCTTCTTGGTGCTCTGAGGTCTGGGCCAGCGTGTGGTTCTAGCTCTAGGAATCAGCAAGGCCATCAGGACCACAATGAAAGTGATGAGGGAGACTAGGTGAATGGTTGGCATACTGAGGGCTTGGCAGAATTATCTGTCAGGTACAAGACAAAAGGATACAGACCAAACAAATGCAGCACTTTAGAAAAAGTCTATTTTATGTTTATGATTTATAATAAAGTAACAAGTGCATTTTACCTGCTGATGTTGATGGTGAAGACTCGTCACTCCATCTCTTTGAACAAGTGATTAATGGAGCCTGCCTCCTTCCTTATATTGCCTTTAGTAGCCTAACTCCTGCACTATCAAGCCAATGAGAGAACAAAGGACAGAAAACTCTGAAGGTTATTAGGAGGTAGGCAGGCTGGCAAAAACAGATTACATGACTCCTGAGGGATATGAAATAAAGTAGGTTGTATACAAGGTGAGACTTTATTCTTTGTGATATGGGATTTGATTCCAGGGCCCAAGAGTGCCCAAACTACTAAGGTGGTGTTCAAAACACACACACACACACACACACACACACACACACACACACACACACACACACACACACACACACACACACTTGCCTTCTACACAAACCGGAGAAAATATACACATTGTTCGCAATGAACAATATCTCATATGAACGTACCAAGTGGAACACCTTGTAGTGAGCACACCATCTGGCACCACCTCAAAGCAGAAAACGGATCAGCTACAATCCAATGGGAGAAGGATCAATGTCCCAAAACAGGTTGTGAGGCAAAACCGATCCAACCACTTACCTCCTTGATGAAACAAACCCAAAGAGCTCATGGAAACCTCATGGAAACCTGGTCCTCCTGAACCAAGCTTCACATGTCTCAGAATGTGTTTTGAAGGTAGTTTCACCCTCTGACATTAACTCTGAATGAGTCCTGGTTGGCTTCCAAGATTCCTTAGAAAACTTGATTAGAAGCCAGTTTTTCTCAAAAGTTTGAAAGAGCAAAAAACACATAGGAGGTCACTGGGGATATCTAGAATTATCCAGTTGAAATATATTGAAAATAGTGAATACACTTCTTTATTATAAGATTTAAGTGGGTAGGTAAGTGATCCATCAGCCTTATAGAGGTTTGGCACCATCTGATTAAATGCAAACAGGAGAGGAGAACGTTGATGTTCCTAATCCAACCCATAATAAAGATTTAATATATACAGCACAGCACCAAAGTAGAGTGTCCTACAAAACCTATGTTAAACACTTTTTTCAAACATTATAAACCCAAATTGTTTTTTAAATACTGGAACATGACTGAAAAAGCCATTACACAGTCCACTATCTGTGGACATATATTTTTTGCTCATGCTCCCGTTACTACTCTTAAATCACTGCGTACCTTTTGGCATTGCACCTACAAACAGTCATCACAATCACCTCTAAGATATAAAAGTCAAATGATCACTGACATCCTGAAAGTATTAACACACCCATATGTTTATCTTTTTGGAGTTTAATGTTGTGCTCCTATACCACCTCTGATTTTGGGCCTTGAATAAACTAGAAAACAATGATTTTTGTCACTCTTTTAGTGACAAAGTGAAAATGTGTGTGATTACTCTTTTGGGTGACCGAGTTGACATGCTGATGTTATGTATTTTGTTTTTAGGTGTCCTGTGTAAAAGGGATCCTAATCTCAGTGAGAGCTCCTGAGTAAATAAAGCTTAATAAATAACCTCAGCTTACTGCAAATAATGGGACTAACAAATGTGTATTACTCTAGAGAGCCACCAGGGGTGAGTGTTAACAGTGTGTCAGTGAACCTTCACACAAACTATTAGGCAATAAAACCAATAATATTGTATATAAAAATTGTTATTGCGGCAATCCATTTTTATCCAGTGTATCTTGCATATGTAGGCCTACTGTGGCATCTCTGTGTGTGTCTACAAGTATGGATTTTAATCTGTTGATTAAGTTTCATCCTGTGATTGCCGACATATTGAACTTTGAAAAACCTGGAAAATTTCTTCTCCTCTCTCCGTATGGAATTATAGACATCCTTTTCTTTTCCTTACTTAATTTACATTTTTGAGAGAGCATCCATACCTGAGTGTTGTTTTTGCAGAAACCCTGATGGTTAAACCTATTTCTGCAGAACAGAGGCTGTCACAACAGCCCTATGGTCCCATAAAGCATCCTTTTGCTGAGTATGGAATGCCCATCTACTGTATTCCTCTCACCTTTCTCCACTCCAAGTACAGTAACTGTCCTGCAAACTCCAAATAATGCTTATTCCAGCTGGCACAAATTCTAAAAAGACAAAATCAAGTTGGGAAAAAATGATATAATTAATTCACTTTCGGCTTTTCCTGTTAGGGGTTGCCACAGCAAATCGTCACACTGATGACTTGCATGGTGAAAAAATGACTGATAGAGCATATACACATCTTCCAGTGTCTTGTGGTTTTCTTTTGAGTTTTAGATTGGTGTTTCTGACTAGAGGCTGGTATGCAGTCACATGGGAGAAATCTGGGAAGGATGGAGAAAAGATAAGCTGACAGAGTTTATTTCCTATCAAAAGCCACAGGTGTTTCACTGACACTGTAACACATACTGTACGTGCAACACATAATCAATGGATTTTGCTCCTTTGCAGAAAGGCCTGTGCAGCTGTGTTGCAAAATACAAGGGCAAAGATACAAATAATTCTTTTTTCAAGCTCAGCCTTGGCTCATTTTCTGCGAAGAACATACTATACAGTATATCAGAACACATTTTCAATGACCACACACTGCACCCCACCCTTCCACATTTACACTACATACAGGATATTTGTGGGTCAATTTGACCTGGGACAATAAAAGTGGGGTTTTTGCAGCTGTGTTACAAAATACAAGTGCTCACACCTGTCTCCACACCCTCCACACGACATCCTCCACACACATTCCGCCCATTGTACACTCTGCCTTGTGGGTGCAACACCCACAGGACAAACAAGAAATATAGCATTGCCAGTGTGGTTCCTTAGCACAACTGATATCACAGCCAATCAAGATGGCCAAAGGACTCTTTGCTCAGAGGGCCTTGCAAATTATTTTTGAAGAGAGTGAAGCTTTTGATGATGTTGTAGAAGAAGAGGTCTCAGAATATGAGGAACACGTTTCTGAAAACTTAAAGTCTGACGGTGACTTTGAAGAAAAAGATGAGATTGAGCATCAGCCATACGCAGAGCCCAAGGTAGGTTTGTGATGTTGCTGCAGTATTTTTGTGGCACTCATGCTTTGCTAGAGAGGGTGGTGTTATGTGCAAAGTAAAATTTCTGCTCTTTCCATTGTTCTAGGTTGCGCATAGTGCCAGCATAAAGAGGCCCTGCCAGGAACCAGGATCTGGGCTGCCTGTGATGCCGCAACCTTGTATGCTTGGAACTTACAAGTCTACATGGAGAAACCTGAAGGAGGAGCCCCCGAGAGAAATCAAGGGATGAGAGTTGTCCTGGACCTGACTCAGTAGCTCAGTGGATGCAAATCACGTGTGACAATTTTTTTACCTCGCACAAGCTGGGACAGGAGCTCCTGAAGAGGAAGCTGACCATGGTGGGAACTATTCGGAAAAACAAGTCTGAGCTCCCACCCCAACTGTTGATTACAAAGAACAGGCCTGTGAAGTCTTCCAAGTTTGTGTACACGGCTGACACGTCCCCGGTGTCCTATGTAGCAAAGAAAGACAAGAACATTTTGCTCATGAGCACACTGCACAGGGATGGGAAAATCTGTGGCCACAAACCACAGATCATCATGGACTATAATGCTGCAAAAGGAGGAGTAAGCAACATGGACAAGCTGGTGACTGCCTACAGCTGCAAAAGGAGGACACTACGCTGGCCACTGGTGATCTTCATTTACATGTTGGACATCTTAGCGTGGAATGCCTTTGTCATCTGGTTGGCACTGAACCCAGAGTGGAAGAGAAGGAAGCTCCAGAGGAGACACGTCTTTCTCGAGGAACTGGGAAAGGCACTGGTGACACCTCACATCCTGAGAAGACAGCATATTCTGAGAACCCCAGCCTCTGCAGCCATCATGAGGAGGATTCGGGAGGAGGATGCTGGTGCCCCATCCACCAGATCTACAGAACCACCATCTGGCGAGCCTGAGGTAAGTGTGTGATGCTGTTGCATGCAGACACTCATGCTTTGAGAGAGAGCGAGCTGTTAGGTACTAAGTATAATTCCTTAATTTTTCATTATTCTAGGTTGTGGCCAGCACCAGCAAAAGGAAGCGCTGCGGAGTGTGTGAACCCAAGAAGGACAGAAAAACACAATCTACATGCATGAAGTGCAAGACATACATATGCAACACACACACACAGTAAAACGTTGCCCCTCATGTGTTGTAAAGGTTGGTCTGTGTTCAGTGGGGCTGATGTGTTGTGTAGACTGAGATGGTTAGTGTGTGTGTTCAGCTTGTGTTGTGTAAACTGCCCCTGAATGGGTTAAATTTCTGAGGTTCAAATAAAAATCAGCAGTTATTGTTGATTTTTTCCCACTCATATCTTGATTATAATTGATTTTCATTATTTTTATTACATTTTACTAAAAAAACAAAGTAAGAGTAGCACATTAGTTCATAAATGTAATCTAACAAAGGCAAATGTAAACATCTGTTCAGTACTACTACTACTACTTTCGGTTGGTCCCGTTAGGGGTCGCCACAGTGAATCAACCATTCGCATGTATACAACTGGCATCTGCTGAGTATTTTAACATACAATTGTTTGATTGTGGTGAATTACAAAGCCAAAAATTCGGCAGTGTAACAAAAAATGAACAGAACACGTGGGTTAATATTCTGTTGATCATAAAAATCTGCATAGTCATCAAATGAATGGGAGATAATATATGAAGTGATAATGTATTGAGATTTAATACAAGCTTGATATGTAACAGCCTACTAGGTGACATCATCATAACACCCCCAGTGGCCCCAAGGCATTTGGCTATGAGTTTGCAGCTGCGCCCTCATGCCAACGCCGAATACATTTCAAGAACGAGACAGTGTCAAACTGGCCCTCCCTGGTTGGCCACTATCAAAACATCCAATTCCGCTACAGGTTTTCAAAATAAATCTCTTGTTATGAAAACATCTGCTGTGTATCCAATCACAGCGCGTTCTAACGTTTGGTTTTATTGAGACGCTCACAGTTGAGTTCCGATTATTCCACACACTAGTGGTTTGACGCAGCCTGGAAATGGAGGTGTGTGTGTGTGGAAAAAATGTTATGCTGATGCGGAGACCGAACAGACACATATCCGAAAGAAGAAACGAGGTCAGTTACGATAAAGGAGGACATCGCCAAGTCACATTGTCGATTCTTGGCCCCCGGTGACTCCCATGTCTGTCTCCGGGGTAGGTCTAACCCAAAAAATTCGTCAACCTGCAATGGGCTATGGGAGATCGGTTCATCTTCTTGCAGCTGTTTAGAGACCCGATGATACCAGCAAGACCGAGTCAATGAGGGCGGCCTGTCCCCTTTTGTCCTGCGCTTCTCGTCCCGGTGTCTGGCCGCCAGGCGCACACAGTGCGTAAATGCACTTCAAGTAGAGAAGGCAGGCCTCCGAGGAACATTTTAGATGTTGAAATTCAGGTTTTGTCAGACATCGTGGTAGCGATTCGATTTCATCATAGTTCCGCTGAGCGGATGGAGTGAACTGTGCAATAGGCGAGAGAGACAGTTGCAGTTTGGTTGCGTGTGATGATAGGAGACACAATGACGCTCTTGTCTCTTCTGGGTCGGATCATGCGTTATTTTCTCCTCAGGCCGGAGACGTTGTTTCTGTTGTGCATAAGCCTGGCGCTGTGGAGTTATTTCTTCCACACGGACGAGGTGAAAACCATCGTCAAGTCCAGCCGGGATGCCGTGAAGATGGTGAAGGGGAAAGTAGCGGAGATGATGCAGAATGAACGGCTGGGAGGCCTCAGTGTCCTGGACGCAGAGTTCTCCAAAACCTGGGAGTTCAAGAACAACAATGTAGCTGTGTACTCCATACAGGGGAGGAGAGATCACATGGAGGACCGCTTCGAGGTGCTCACGGACATCACCAACAAGAGCCACCCGTCCATATTCGGGATATTTGACGGTCACGGTGGAGAGGTAGGCTGGGAGGGAGATGTAACAAAGGCCCATGGTATCGCACTGCATCTGAGCCATCAGGCCCAGAGACCTGCTGCACATGAGTTCTCACATCACTAGGATTTTAAGGCAGGTAGAGAGAGACAGACGGGGAGTTTACTGGTAAATGCACAAGATGCTTCCTGTTACTGCGTTTTCTGCAGAGGCTGTTCTATTACAGCCCGTTTCAAACTGCCTATTTTATTATGTAGGCTAACACTGAAGAAAATGTTGTAAAATGATGAACAATATAACATTTAAAATACTCCAGGAACATTAAATTGTTATGAAAAGAGATGAGAGATGCAGGTTTATATAGGGACACACCACTTGTGTTACTCTCCTCAGTCGCCCCATTTTCCAACACAATAGTTCCCCCTCCCCATTTGCCCATTGTGTTCTTTTGAACACTTCCATCCCACTGCCAGTCAGTGAGTTGGCTTGGGATTCATCACAAAGCTTCTGCGTGTGCATTATAGTTACTCGTCCATGTGTGTAGGTTTTGTCTATCCCTCCTTCACTCCCTGTGTTGTCAAGGGTCAGCGGTTTCTCATGGCTGCCTTCAGATCATGTGTCCTGTTCGCCATCTGTCACACCATCAGACGTTTTTCAGTAATAGGACACATTTCACTGAATAATACGGGCTAAGTTTCATATTTAGAGCCCTGTCTTACTGCATTTTTATTGAGTCAATATATTATTACATGCAAACCCACAGAGAGTGAAACAAAAGGCATGCAATGCAGTCTCCAAAGTGTGAAACATGAAGGCAGATATTTTCATTATCACCACATGTCAGCCTGTGGGGCTTTTTGGTTTGTCATTGCTGAAAAGGAAAATAGAAATGAAATTTGAATCAGAATTTAGAATTTCAGAAAGAAATATTATTTTAGTGATGCACAGATTGAAAAGGATAACTTCACTAAACTCTGGCTGTATGTGTCATTAGTTTAATTTATAAAATGTAAGAAAATACTTCCAGAGCCCAACATGACACCTTGAGGTCACCTGCTCCAAAATCCAAGGTTTTTCTGTTTACTATCCCTTCTTGGATGAGAAAACTAGCAAATATTCACACTTGAAAAACTGGAAGCAGTGACATTTTAGCATTTTTCCCTAAAAAAAGAATTAGTTAAGAGTTGCTGATTTTTTTTTGTTTGACTTTAAAGCTCTGTTTTAAAGATTGATGATAAGACATAGGAAATTCACATGTTGTGTTAAGTAAAGAGGAATTATTTTAACTGTCCAGGGTTTGTATAAACATTTGGAGCTCTGGCTTTCAAACCAAATGCTTTCCTACTGGTCTAACATCAAATCATACACCTGTGTCTGGCATGTTGGACGCTCAGGTCTCCTAACATGTAATTCAGAGAAAATACAGTCCATCCATTTAAAAAAGCTTATTAGCAAGAGTTGCTGCTGGATTGTGTTCTGTCATAGAGGGGGACACAACAAACAAAGTGAAGTGTATTTACCCATCTGGACTGCTCTATTTCTGTCCATAAACAAATATTTGTCCTTCCTGTTTGTCCCACCATCCTCTCTCCCTCTTTTTAACTCTTTCTCTTCTGCTGATTTCTTCCCTTTCTACCTATACTGTATGTATCTCTGTGCACTGTCCATGTTCACATATCTTGTTTGCTCCTTTCCTTTATTACCAACCTTCTATCTTACTGTGGTCACAGTAAGTGAATTTTAGACTTAAAAATGGGTCATATTGACTGTGCATCACTGTGCAGACCTCGCCCTGCGTTGCATTTGCCAGTTTAAAAATTAAACATAAATGCATAATGACTCAATTACAGATGCGATTGATGTTAAGGTTCACTTGAGGGAACTGTATTTACTCTCTGGGATGTCGTTAGGAAAAAGTACCTCATGTGTGAATATCCTAAGACATTTGTGTGCTTGTGTATTTTTATGTGGTTTGGCACAATTATAAACACACACACACACACACACATGTCACCAGTATTAAATGAAGCAATGTTGCCAAGTAAAATATGAACAGAGAGAGCAGGCTGTTTCAGGCAGTACCGTGTGTTCTGGCTCTAAAAATATGCAGGAATCTTTTCAAACAGGTTCTTTTTTCTTCTTTTTCAAATAATAATAGTAATTATTGGTATTTTTACTGAAGCAGTGAGTTGTGGCCCAGAATGTAAAAGTCAGAAAAGGCTGCTGCTCATTGTTTACTTGAGTTATTTGAATCAACAGCATTAGCATAATGGAAATCCTGGCAGAGGGGATGAGAGAAGAGGTAGATAAGGGCAGAAAGAGGTGGTCAAGTGGGCTGTAAGGGGTTGTTCAATAATTTAACACAGCGCACCTGCTGTATATAGCAATAAAAACATTCCTCTAAATTAGTCATGTTCAATAATATTGTCTGGAAAACCTGGGAAGAATCTTCACAATATTATTTATTCCGTGCTAGTGACCTGTCAAATTGAGGATGTGATGAAATGTAGAGTATATGTGTAATACCGCTTTGGCTTTCATCTTCCCCATCCTCTCAAGTTCCTCTTTCAGTCCCTGGCACTTCTCCAGCGTCTCATACTCCTTGATTTTGCCATCACTTGGAACTGCTATGTCTGTCACTGCCTGTCACCACTACCTCCTTCTGTTCCTTGTCTACTACCACAACGTCTGACTGGTTTACCTGTAGCTTCATGTCTTTCTGGATCTGGAAGTCCCACAGGATCTTCTGAGGAGTCTCCCATCTGGACTTAATGGAGTCTAGCCCATACTTAGATCAAATGTTTCTGTACACAATGTCAGCAACCTGGTTGTGCCAATCAGTGTATGCTGTTCTATCACTGTGCTATCATTGTATCCTACATAATTGATTTAGTTTAACAATAAGAATGTTTTATTTGATTTAGTAGATTGTAGATCAGAACTGTGTATTTTAAAGCATTTCAAATGGAGCAAAATGAGAAGTTATACATCTTCACAGAATCAACTACTGTGCCTATTTTACTATAATAAATTTCCCATGGAAGACACACATTTCAGGTGTTTTATTCCAATCTTGTTAAATGCATTAATTACACCATACAAACAGTCAGTGCACTTGCATTGTCCGTGTATGTACAGTGTATTACTGACATAAGACATTGTGGCTTAATATTTCTCAACATTAACATTTATTTGGCATTGACAGCAAAGACAGCTCTGTGCTCTACCTCCATTTATTATCTGTCCTCTTTCTAATCCTCCCTATGTGTTCTCTTCCATTCTGATCTCCCTCCTCTCCCAGGCTGCAGCTGACTATGTGAAGGCCCACCTGCCAGAGTCCCTGAAGCAGCAGCTGCAGGCATTTGAGAGAGAGAAGAGAGAGAGCTCTCTCTCTTATGCCAACATCCTCGAGCAGCGCATCCTGGCCGTGGATCGTGAGATGCTGGACAGGCTCTCTGCCAGCCATGATGAAGCAGGTCAGGTTGAGATGTTAAAATGATGCCCTCCATTGCTCCTTCAAGCAGTATTCATGCTCTTGGCCTCTTAAAGGACATGGTGGCTCACAGCACATTGGCTATCAAATAAAATCTCCCAACTTCCTGTATGATCTCCTCTCAACACAGTGCTACCCAGCTGGCATTTATATAGCTCTCGGATAGATTTCAATTGTTTACACACAACCAGATTTGATTCAGAATTGTAACATTTGTTAGACATTTTATTTTGTCAGTATCATCGGGTGTTTCATTTTTGTCTTGCTCTTCCATCTCTCGCACAGGAACAACATGTCTAGTAGCACTGCTGTCGGACAGAGAGCTCACAGTGGCAAACGTCGGAGACTCTCGCGGAGTGTTGTGTGACAAAGATGGGAATGCTATTGCCCTATCACACGATCACAAACCGTATCAACTCAAAGAGCGCAAGAGGATCAAGAGGGCAGGTGTGTAAAGGAGCAACAACATAAGGACTCTCTTACCTCTATTTTGAGCCCTCGTTTCCAATAAGTTGGCATTTTGCAGACTTTACCACAGTTCTTAGTGTTGTGATGTGAAACACGGGGTTCCCTGGGGAAGTCAGAAGTATATAAAGATAAATGCCATAAAATGCAAATAAAAGAAATGAATTAGACAAATGGTAAACAAACAATTGTATTATTTTGATTTTGAAAGTCGCTTTGGACAAAAGCATCTGCTAAATACTGTAACAAACATTCTAAATTATGCACCAACTGTTTTTTTTTTGCTTAATGATGCTGTTTTGACAAAATAAAAAATTAAATTGATTAGGTAATTGACAGTTACCTTTTGTCCACTATGTAAGTTAAGAGCCTGGATCAGGCAGTTCGTCCTTAAGTGTCTTGGCTGAAGAATAAAATATAAAAATTAAACCGACAATAGTTAGAAACATGGCATTGTTAAAGTGATGTGATGAGTTACAATTTCCAGGCCTCGCACTCAGTCACTTCCAGGTGATGTCAGTTAAGTTTTTGAGGGTTCGGGCCTCAACACCCTAGAAGGGACTTTGGGTTTCAGCAAAAGTATCAGCGTGTACCTGCAAGGCCCTTCTCCCTGGTTGAATTTGGTGTCCTTTGTTGCCATCTGTTGGTTTATTCAGGAAAAGCATTGTGTTAAATATAGCACAGTATCAGTGCAGAGTCCTAAACTGTGTGATTAAATTAAGTATTTATCAGATCAAATGACTATAGTTTTAACAGTATTTTTCAGCATCAGCTCCTTTGGCACATCTTGTCTTTTCTGTGTCAAACTGTAGGCAAACAAATATACACTCACCAGTCACTTTATTAGGTACGTCTGTACAATTGTATGAAATTCATTGCAACACTTCCGCTTTAACATCTGTGTTTATGATTCTCACAGTGTTTTACTTTTTGGTGAAATTGTCACAAATGTATAAATTCAGTTATATGTTTATTATTGAGGTCGGTTGAGGTGGTGTTGTAATGGACCACATTATATTCAGATGGGTCTCTTCTTGTCCTCCCCAGCTACATGCATGAGAGGGTCAGAACATTAGGAACACTTCTGAATATATCATCAGAATGTGCTTAAGTTCAAAAAATGTTTGTTTTCTTCACTTTCAGGAGGTTTCATCAGTTTTAATGGCTCTTGGAGAGTCCAGGGAATCCTAGCTATGTCCCGCTCCCTAGGGGACTACCCACTGAAAAACCTCAATGTTGTCATCCCCGACCCTGATATTATGACGTTTGACCTGGACAAACTGCAGCCAGAGTTCATGATCCTGGCCTCCGACGGTTTATGGGACGCCTTCAGTAATGAAGAGGCTGTTCGCTTTGTCCGTGAACGTCTGGATGAGCCTCACTTTGGTGCCAAGAGCATCGTCCTCCAGTCTTTCTACCGCGGCTGCCCCGACAACATCACCGTCATGGTGGTCAAGTTCAAAAGTGGAGCTGGGGGGAACAGTAAGGCTGGGGAATAGGTGATGTTTAGAGCTGACATTGTGGTCAGTTTTTCCTATGATTGTCCCATCTTCTGGATGGAGAAGCAAACACAGAGGACAGGACAGAGAATATGAATGCTGAGTACTGTACTTCTGACAAATGCGCACACACACAGACACACACACCGTAAAGGAGCAACAACATAACGCTATAATATTGTGGGCCAATCTCAAGGTCCAGACTCAGACTTTGAGGTACATTCCCACTAAGGTAGTGGTGGCTTAGGGTTGTCCCACTGTGAAACTGTCAAGTGCAAAAAGGTGACATAACATTTTGTTTTGTTTTTACATTTTTGGTTGAGATATGTAAAGGAGCAACAACATAAGGACTCTCTTACCTCTATTTTGAGCCCTCATTTCCAATAAGTTGGCATTTTGCAGACTTTACCACAGTTCTTAGTGTTGTGATGTGAAACACGGGGTTCCCTGGGGAAGTCAGAAGTATATAAAGATAAATGCCATAAAATGCAAATAAAAGAAATGAATTAGACAAATGGTAAACAAACAATTGTATTATTTTGATTTTGAAAGTCGCTTTGGACAAAAGCATCTGCTAAATACTGTAACAAACATTCTAAATTATGCACCAACTGTTTTTTTTTTGTTTGTTTTTTTTTGCTTAATGATGCTGTTAAAAAAAAATAAAAAATTAAATTGATTAGGTAATTGACAGTTACCTTTTGTCCACTATGTAAGTTAAGAGCCTGGAGCAAAAGAGCAAAAGTATCACAGCGTGTACCTGCAAGGCCCTTCTCCCTGGTTGAATTTGGTGTCCTTTGTTGCCATCTGTTGGTTTATTCAGGAAAAGCATTGTGTTAAATATAGCACAGTATCAGTGCAGAGTCCTAAACTGTGTGATTAAATTAAGTATTTATCAGATCAAATGACTATAGTTTTAACAGTATTTTTCAGCATCAGCTCCTTTGGCACATCTTGTCTTTTCTGTGTCAAACTGTAGGCAAACAAATATACACTCACCAGTCACTTTATTAGGTACGTCTGTACAATTGTATGAAATTCATTGCAACACTTCCGCTTTAACATCTGTGTTTATGATTCTCACAGTGTTTTACTTTTTGGTGAAATTGTCACAAATGTATAAATTCAGTTATATGTTTATTATTGAGGTCGGTTGAGGTGGTGTTGTAATGGACCACATTATATTCAGATGGGTCTCTTCTTGTCCTCCCCAGCTACATGCATGAGAGGGTCAGAACATTAGGAACACTTCTGAATATATCATCAGAATGTGCTTAAGTTCAAAAAATGTTTGTTTTCTTCACTTTCAGGAGGTTTCATCAGTTTTAATGGCTCTTGGAGAGTCCAGGGAATCCTAGCTATGTCCCGCTCCCTAGGGGACTACCCACTGAAAAACCTCAATGTTGTCATCCCCGACCCTGATATTATGACGTTTGACCTGGACAAACTGCAGCCAGAGTTCATGATCCTGGCCTCCGACGGTTTATGGGACGCCTTCAGTAATGAAGAGGCTGTTCGCTTTGTCCGTGAACGTCTGGATGAGCCTCACTTTGGTGCCAAGAGCATCGTCCTCCAGTCTTTCTACCGCGGCTGCCCCGACAACATCACCGTCATGGTGGTCAAGTTCAAAAGTGGAGCTGGGGGGAACAGTAAGGCTGGGGAATAGGTGATGTTTAGAGCTGACATTGTGGTCAGTTTTTCCTATGATTGTCCCATCTTCTGGATGGAGAAGCAAACACAGAGGACAGGACAGAGAATATGAATGCTGAGTACTGTACTTCTGACAAATGCGCACACACACAGACACACACATGCAAAAAGGTGACATAACATTTTGTTTTGTTTTTACATTTTTGGTTGAGATAAGGGCATTTTAACACAATGTCAACCGAGTAGTCATCTACTAGACTACCTTAAAATCCAGATGTTCTCCAACTGTAAAGATGCATAAACTAAGGACAAACAAATATGAAACAGATTTTCTTTTAACTAGCACATTAGACTGTGACTGATTTGCTACACTTTACTGTATATGCACGTGACTAGTATAGTGCCACTGGAGGCTCCAGCTAGTGCCTACTCGAGAATTACTGTGCAGCTACAGGAAAATTCTGAAAACATCACCCTGCTTGCTGCAATTTGACGATGCCCTAAAATAACGTGTCTTTTTTATTGTTGACCTGGACATACTACTGAAACATAAAAACAAACATCAGTGGATCCAGACCGAAAATGTAACTCTCGAGCACTCAGACCCTCTAAACTTGAGAGGTGAGGTAAATTGGAATCTAAAAGTGAGCAGGAGCTCCAGTTGGCTCACTGCTGTGTTGGCAGGAGTCTAACCAATCACAACTACTGTTACAGATCTGTGGGTTGCAGTTAATTTATTGTTTTATCTGCACCCTGCTCACACTTATTTAAATTAAAACAATCTTAAAAAGGAGACTGTGCATTTTAAAGCAGGTATAACTGCTGAGATGGATTACAAAAGGCTATGAAAGAGGATTAGGGCCACTGTAAAAAAAAAAAAAAAAAAAAAAAAAAAAAAAAAAAAATTTGAGTTCTGACTCTAATCTCAGAATTCTTTAAGCTTAAAGTCAAAAGTCTGAGTTTAAAGTCGGAACTCAAATTTTTAGCCGTGGCCCTAATCCTCTTCCCTAGAAAGGTTTGACATACAGTAAGTGAGATTTAAAACCCTTTAAGTAATTTTGATTTTACTTAATGTTATTTTTACTTTGAACTTTACAATGCATTGTTTTGAACCAGATATAATAAACTGATTAGATGCATTCTACTTCTCCATTATTTATATGCGCAGTGTGCTCCAAAGATATGATTTACCAAAGTATGACTAAATGCACATCTTCTGCAACCTCTTAGACTGTCTTCAGCATGATGTAACTGACTAGTGATGTGCTTGAGACATTTCAGTTGTTTTCAGATTTTTCTTACAGTGAAAATAGTTGTAAAGAAAAAGATTACAACCACTCTTTTGTAAAAGGAGAAAAAAATGACAGCAATTTTTCATTTTTGCTGGAGAGGAGTGATACTCAGTTTCCAATGACATTTAAACTTGTAACACATGCACACAAACAAAACAGTTCAGAAAAAAAAGCACTTTTCAGATGTTTATTTTTTGAAATGATGCATCCTTTACATATCAGCTGATTGAAACTATCTCCTCAGTAACACCAGTGTTGTATAGGCCTAGAACCTGATTTAGTTCTGACCTCATTCTCTTGGTACAACAAATGAAGCTAATGCGAACTGTTTCATCACTGGTGTTACACAATCCGTATCTGGGCATGTGCTTTGGCTTATCCATGTTTATGAGCAAAGTACATACTGTACACACGCATCCATAGACTTTAGTGGCTGCCTTTGACCTGGGAAGCACACAAAACATGGCTGCTGCCATGAGAAAATGATGACCTTTCATGAGCTGTACAGCCGCAGCTGGAATGCTAGTAGCTAGAAATATATACTCTTGAAGCAATACAACCAATCATCGTCAACAAGGACCTGTCAAGAAAAGTTACAATAAACCATACTTTATTTACTACTGTTTTAACTTCAGCTACTGTCACTGTGTCATGACCTTTTCCTCATGTGAGAAAAGCCTTTTTAATTAAGTTTACCCAATGCCTTATTTGAGTTCTCTCCTTCTGGCAGATTGCCACTTCAGTATACTGTACAGTATATTCATTTTTGTTCTTGCATAAACAGGTTTACAATGAAATAGATCCCCATCACTTTTATTTGAGAAGCAGTTGATGATTCACGCATGTTGAGCTGATGCTCAGTGTAAAAAAAAAAGTGAAAGGTTTTCTGTATCTAAACCATAAGTATTAAACAACATCTTCCTCCCCCTTTATTATCTCAAAGGCCTGGTATTTCATTGTGGTCTTTAGGAAGTGTGCAGCATGCTTAATGCTTAATTAGTGCAAGATACACTCAGAAGATCTTTTTAAACAGGGTTCTCAGCAGTACAGGTATACATTTCTAATTGAAATAATTTCATTTTACCACTTATACTATACTTTATTTACCGAACAAAACTTTTAAGTGCATTTTCACACCACTGGCTGCTGAAATGGTTCAATAGATGCGGAGTAATGGACTAACTACGGTTGCTAGTTTCCTTCCCGTTTGATGCTTTGAATCTGTGTTGACGTGTTGTCACGCTTTTATCCCCTAGCCTCATTCTGTTGGCGGGTGAGACATTGTGTCTTCTCGGTGTCTCTGGGATGTGCACGCTGGGTCACGAGGCAACTGCATGGAAATTAAACCCCACTGCAGGCCGCAGGAGGGGCGTGCGCTGCCGGGAAGCGCTGGCTCTTGCCAGGATTGGTGACGGTCTGTAACAGGTGGAGAAACTCAAAATAGCTTTGACCGATTCAAATGCATTTAGGTGTCTAATAACCATAGTGCGTCAACACTGCCGCTGTACCAGAGCTTCTTAGCCAATTGTAAACGGATTCGGTACTTTATGAGTGAGACAAGCGCGAACAGGCAGCAGTGGAAGAAACTCGCCATTTTGCCAATACTTAAATAAGCAGGAATATAATTTATATTTTTATTTCCACTGAATCCTAAGTCGTATTTTTGAATTGAAGTTACAACATGGGACAACATGGCTCCAAACAATCTATAGAAGCGAGGGTGATTTTCCAGCGCATTGGCGCAGGAGACCTGTATCAGAGAACCGACGTATGTTCTACTCCAGCCTCCGTCGTCCGCATTCAGAAGAAGGTGCCCAGTCAGTCAGTATGTCTCCAGTGTTCTACCAGCGCACCGGACAAGATAACAGCACATTCATGGCCACAGAGCCGCTGTTACACCGGGGGGCTGGTGTACGTAATGGACAATCCAACCGGGGGCGTGTGGGTGAAGCCAGGAGAACAACTGACTCGAAGGTGAAAAGAAAAATTACATTGTTATGAGCAATGGAAACGAATCCGTCCATGGAATTAAACCACGTATCCCGTGCCTGGACGCACTTTCTGTGCCAGGACCCCCTCCCGGGCTAAGGTGTTCCAAGGAGGATTTACATCTTCTAGGCGACATGGAATAGTTGGTTGGACTGATTACTGACATTTATTGATTTAGTCTGTGTGAGACATTGTCAGACTTGAAGAGTTCCATGAGCCACACGTATGGAGATATTGTTCTTTAAAGCAATTGTAAACTACAAAAACACGGAACAGATCTATAAGCCCGTGAGAGTTAGACACCAACACCAGCCTTCTCTTTGTTGTTTGTAAAACGACTGTGCAAAAATGGAAAATACATCAAATTGCTGATCGACTTCCCCACCTCCCATTCTATTTGACTCAGTCCTACTTTTTATAATCCATTTTACCCATATATGCAATATCATACTGTAAAAATGTTTTTTTGTATTGATGGTAGTTTGAATGTGATGGTCTGGAGTTCAATACTGACCCACTTTTGGGATTGAATGTTTGACGAATGTCTCAGATGAAGCAGACTTATTTCCCAGTTTATTTCTTGGTCTTATGAGAGGTTGTGGAAACTCCTGAAGGTTTGGTGAAGGTGAAACTGTTGCCGAAGGTTCTAACATCCATCTGCCATTTCACATTTTTAAAGACGGTGTCTCCGTTATGTTGAGTTAATTTATATGTTGATATCAAATACCAATTTCTTGTTTTCTTTATACAGCAGAGACCAACGCTGGTTTTATGGAAAGTTTTCTTGGATATATTACGTTATGTGCTTGTACTGTGCATTATGACTACATGTTGACTATCACTATGCACTGTGTTGTGGAACGAATGATCGATGTTACCACGATCCTTTAACATATGATTAAAACGCCCAAATGGTGCTCGTTTTTGTAACTAGAATAGTAAAATGACTGTCAGCTTAATTTATAGTACAGTGGCAACAACAGTGTATGACTCCACTTAGCTACAGAATGTATAAACAAAGGATCTCCCAAACTTTGCCCCATAGTGTGGTGCCTTATCGGCGAGTGTAGGTAATGGCTTATCTATTAAACTCAGGCCAACGCACTTGGCAAACACGATATGAAAAGTGGGACCAAGTGGAAGATGTGACTATCATTTGAGCTGCCTCTCTCTTCAAGGTGCCATGGGCCAGCGAGGATCTAAGCAACCAGAGGCACGAGTTCTCCTTCTGGGCCTGGACAACGCTGGAAAATCGACTCTCCTCTACAAAATGAAGCACAACGCGTCTGTGAGCACGGTCCCTACCATCGGCTTCAATGTGGAAATGTTCGAGGCAAGAAAGAACAAGAAAAACATCGCCTTAACGATGTGGGATGTTGGTGGTCAGACGAAGATGCGCGAGTACTGGAAGAGTTTCCATCATGGGACAGCAGCTGTTGTGTTTGTTGTGGACAGCTCTGACAAGGAGCGTCTGGACGAGGCCCGCAAAGAGCTGGAAAACACGCTGAGAAGTGGCCATTTGCGGGGCCGTTCTCTGATTCTTCTCGCCAACAAACAGGATGTGAACGGAGCTCTGACAGTCACTGAGATCAAGGACAAGTTCAACCTGACAAAGCTCTGCTCTACTCGGGACTGGTTCGTGCAGCCTTGCTCCGCAAAGACAGGAGTCGGAGTCGAAGAAGCCTTCAGACGAGTGGTCCAAATGGTCAAACTCCCATCAGACTCTGGGGCCATGAAAGACAATATCAAGGAAACAGTGAACTACCTGAAAGCGAGCACCAGGTTTTAACCACTGACAATATTACAAATTAACTTTGAAAAACGTTTGTTCCAAATCGAAAGCCCTTTGTGCCAAAAATGATTATAAAAATACTATAGAAACAACATTTTTGGTTAAGTCATTGTTTTTATACAGTCATTTGTATGCACATATCCCATTTGGAATCTTGTAAGCTAAGAGCGAGTGAATACCTGGAGGAAATAGGATACGATACATTAAAACTACTGCTGAGTGCCACAAACGCACAACGGCAGAGATGTTTCCATTGGTGTGTATGCATATCTTCTTTCAATTATTAAAGGGAAGCCTATTATCTCGTACAGCAAGTTCATTAATGGCTTCACAAAAGCATCTCACTGATACAGCATTACTGGGATAAGTAAAAGATAAGTACGTATACTGCAGGTTTTGGTGACAGTGGTCATTTGTTCTGAAAAATGTTTTTAGTTGGCGTTTATTCTTTTTTTTCAATCCAACAGCCATCAAATCTACACTTGCACTACATATTGATAAACGTTATTATGGATTTTATTTCAAGAACATTCCCGAACAGGTGTTTTGCTCGAGGTTATACAGTACAGTGGCCAAAGGGGCTTGGCAATCTTAAAGCTGTTTTTATTAGTCGTTTCCGATCCATAAAGCATTAGATGATTTAGTTATATTGGCCGCATCGTATTAGAAAATGGAACCAAACTTGGAAGCTCATTCATTGGAAGAAATGGAGCAACGTGTGAAAAAACAAAACAAAACCCTAAATATCTTGTACTGAACTATAGGCTACAGTTCATGCTGCAACGATACCTGACCACCACTAATATAAAATACAATCAAATAATGAACATACAGTGAGTGCTATAGACTCCGAGTTTATCCTCCTGATATCCAGTCATACAGCTTGTCCCAAAGGAGACTCTGGGCGTCCTCTGCTCCCATGATCCCGCACAGTCTCTTCATATGTTGGCAGACGTTTGCATTCGTCGTATGTGGGCAGCTGAGAAGTAGGAAATTGATCCACCAAACTATCCGGTGTACAGCTCTCCATAAGCGTTTCTTGAGATGTGGCAACAGCTGGGTGTCCGTTGTGTGATGGGGTTAGCTGCCTGGATCTGGAACACAACACTCTCTGGACAAAGTATCCCACAGCAAAAAGAAGCAGCAAAATAAGAACCCCAGAAAGTTTACGTGTGACCATTGCAATGTTGTAGTAAGTCTTGTCCACGAACTGCTTGCAACAGGTAAAGGCAGCTGTATCGTTTCCCTGCACGCAGCAGATCTGGTCATCCCGACAAATGTCCTGTCCACACCTCCGGATGGAATAAACAACTGCGCGAACGAGAAAGCAACCAGCGAGCAAAACTAGGATCTGGCATCTGTAGAGAAACATCCTAGTTGTTCTCAAAGTGAAAAATGATCTAGGAAACTTCAATGGTAAAAGGTTAGGAAGCAGGATGTAGCGTGACGACTCAGTTGTTGACAAACTGCTGAAAGATGCGTTGGTTGAAAGGCTGACGCAGAGCCACCATAAGCGCAGGGCACGCTCAGAGGACAAAAGTATTTGTAGGACAAAACCAAACATCTGTCCAGATATTCACACATAGAAAACTACCGAGTATCCACATATTCGCACATAGAATACTAGCAAAGTAGCCTACACCTGGAGCTGCTCAGACATCTGAAAGTGCATGTACATCCTTTGCAGCATATGAAAAAGGTAATAGACTTGGACGCTGATGTCAAGCTTACTAATAAGCTTGACATCAGCGTCCAAGTCTATGTCAACGTGCCTCAGATTTATTATGCACTTAGTAGGTACATTGATGCCGTCTAGCAAATCACAAACAGTCTTTTATACAATGCTCGTTCATTGGATATGAAAGTAAACAGGCGCCCAGGAAATCATCCAGTCTTGTCGGAAGCACCGAGACATGACCTCTGATGAATTGTGAGGGTGAGGGAGCCTGAGGAAGTCGGGGTTGACGTTTCAGCACCACGGACAGGGCTCAACACGCCCACTGGGGGAAAACAATGAGGGGCGCTGTCCGAGGTGCTGACTCAACTGAACCCAAATAACTTAAGTGTTCTAGCTGGCAAGAGCACAAATAATTTCCATTTGCAATATTAATAATGCTTTGCATTTATTCTGGGGTTAAGGCAGGTCATTCCTTAAGAGGCTGCAAGGGTTTGGTCTTCCTCCATTTAGACTGAACAGTATATAATACATTTTAAGTGCAAAGTGCTGCCTCTGTCAACCTGGATTCGATCTCTGCCAGAGATTTTGGGTAGACTGCTACAACACAACCTAAACATCAGTGGTACATTTTCTACTCAATAGCCAGTAATAAGCATCTTTATTATTCTAAACACAAAACACATAACCTGACCAAAAATGCTTAAGTGTATACATTTTAATACAATTTCAAAAGGGATGCCTTTGCAACCAAGAGCTGTGACTGTCACTTCACTGGATATGACAGAGCAAACATTTTATATTACATCATAGACCGTCACAATAATCAATGTGACTACATGACGAGTAGGTTGTGGGTAGTAATGGAGGAAAGTGCTCCCTAACAGCATATCTGCTTTCTCCTCAGTTCAAATTAGTTGGTTTTATGGTAGATGTCAAAAAGATGCATTGTGTGTGTTCAAGTACACACAACACATCCCTTTGACATCCACTTCTGTTGCTTGGGGGCTAATGAGCTTGAGTGCTTAAAACCCAATTCTAATTAAATTGTTTGCCAAGGCCATATCAAATTGTTGGATCCAGATCCACAGGATGCTCCATTTTGTAAAGATCAGATATCAAACAGAGAAAACCGGTGCTTGTACAGGCAACAATAACAAAAAAAGTTTGTTGGAAAAAGGTTTGCCATTTGTACAAGAACAAAATAACTGCAACAAAGTGATCTTTTAACATACTTGGAAAATGTGCTGTCCCACAGGGAAAAAAAACAACACTTTAGTTCAAGTGAGATTATTTTCCAGTTGATGAGCTCAGTATTCGAGCATTTTAAATTGTGCTCAAACTATTTGCCCCATATGCAACAGCAGTGAAATTACCATGTTATCTTTGAGAATCTGAAATCTTCTGTCTCTGTTGTTGTTCTGTGGAAAATAGTGTTTTGGAATCTGATGGTCTTGTGGCAAATCTGCTGTGTACGAGGACAGTAAGAGGCCCCAGTTGTGTAATTCTCTCTGAAAAAGAAACCATACAGGGTCTCATTTAAAAACAAAACAAAACAATTAAACAAAAAGGTGCAGCTGAAAGTGAACCTTTCACTAATTAGAGCACAAATAAACAGGTGTACACCAAAATATATCAAGAATTTTACTTTTGAATTAAAAATCTATTGTTATGTGAAATATCAAAGTCTGTCTTACTGTGTTGTTACCAAATATTAGGGCTATAAAACAATCACTTAGACTTCACCATTTAGTCTGCATTAAAGGACCCACAATTATAATTCCCTTAATATGGGAATTTTGTTTTGGGTTAGGAAAATAACTTTGCTAAAACAGAAAATTAAACGTTAGTTTAAAATGGCACAGAGTACACTGATCTTACATGAAGATAAAACAAAGCCAGAATTCAGTAAATCTGTTGTACTCACCTGATCTGTGTTCTGGCCCTTTGTTCAGCACAGCAGAGGAATGAGGAGGTTTGTAGAGCTGGCTCTGGTACCACCCCGGACGCACACTGATGTAATCGACTGGTGGTTGCTTAGGTCTATTCTGAACTAAACCTTCCTGTGAAGTCATGCTAGATGAGGTTTCGGTGCTTATAGTAGTTTTGGGAGGCACAGTGGACAGATGATCCTCAACCAGGTAGGAGACATCACAGCTTTCACAAGCCCAGTCATTCCCATCAACTGACCTCCATCTGGAGGAAGGCAATTATATTAAGGGAATTCACTTTTGGCAAAAATGTGAGAACAACAAAGGGGCATACCGAATGTTAAATAGAAGGTTTTTCTGTTAGTGAGAACAACATTTTTAATGACATGGCATTCAAGAGGTACAAACTTTATTTTCTCACCTCTTCTCAATGAAAGAGCAGGCTCTGTTTTGAGGGCTAACAGATAATATGGCAGGAACACTCTTCACATAGCAGGTTATGTAGACCTGTGGGAGAGAGATTTTGGTGTGGAATATAATCAGACTGCTCTTATAGGTCTCATATATTGATGGGAATAATGTGACTAATGCAAGCCTTACACCGTCATACACTTTGGTCAATAAACCTTTCACAGAAAAACACCAACATAAAAAGGCAACTGACCTGATTGCTTGGCTCCTGATAGAACTTAAAGGCATCTATCTGAAATCTCAGCTTGCTCTCCTCAACTCTTGGAAGGAAATGGGAGCTGGAGTTTGTCAGGTAAGCTTCAGCAAGACATCTGATTTCCCAGCAAAGGAAAACAAAATGTTCAGAATGGAGGTTCTTTAAGTTCAAAGAAATGACAAAACTAGAATGACATCAGTTTTCATTCTGTGGTTGTAGTTTGTGGGTTTTAAGATTTAGTTAAACTCACCCATAATTCGCAATAAAGTCATATCTTAAGGCTGCTTCTGCATCAGGAGTTGCTGTGGCAACACAGCGGTCGACATAGACTCGCAGAGGTGCATGGTTACCGCTGATGGTAGACACTTCCAAATGAATAGGGTCACCCAGGAAATATGTATAAGATCCCCTCTCCAACTGCCAATCATCTGCAAAGATGAGATGAAGCCTTTCAATAATTAATTTCCAAAATGGACTGTTCTTATGTAGCATCACTAATGATGCCCAAGACTTTTCTGAAGGGGGAAACAATGATACTGTCAATGCTCTTTTAAATACCAGTCATGAGTTGCAGACTGAAGTCTATCTGATCATCTGCTGAGAACCTGGAGACAAAAGGAACCCAGATAGGATGCAGAGAAACTCCATCCACAGTGCAACTCCTGAAAACAATCATGGCAGTATTTCAAGATCAGTTCTTAGCATCAATGTTCAATAAAGCCAAATGCAAGAATTAAATTAGTTCACCCAAACTGCTTTACCAAACCTTGCAGGCCTTACTTTTCATAATGGCATTCAACTGGAAGTGTTGCTCCACCCAGTCTAAGAATGCCACTGGATGTAGGTTCTGGTGAGTAGGTCAAAACATTAGAATAGATAATCTTCTGTTTGGTCGACTGGAAGAGAACACATCAGCCCTTTAACGTGTTGCACAGAGCAAAGCAGTCTAACGAGGCTGGGTTAAGTTAACCTAACACTCATTTTAACAGCATATCAGAAATTAACACCTTCTGAATTCAGCCAAACAGCTGAAACATTAGAGACACGTTTCTACAACTACACTTGAGCTGCAGCTCATAAAAAACAACTCGATGCTTACTGAGAGTTTAGTTCCACACTCCATCAAGGGGGCCTTGATGGTGAATTCAGCGTCTCCTGACGGGAACGGTCTGCATGCACTCTCCTCCTCACCCACTGAATCCGAGCCCAGGCGCAGATGTCTGCCCTCCACCTGAAGGCCTGTGTCAAACATGTCAGCCTGCACCACAACCTCCATCGAGTGCGGGTGACACCTGACCACAATAGGCCGAGGACGCACAAGGAGCTCCGCGCTTTGCTGCTGTTTGACCGCCTCGGGCCGGATGGTCCTACCCGACGTGTTAAAATCTGTTGCACTCGAGGCTTGATTGTACACTAACCGGTTTTCTGTGAGCGTGAAAACCGACACAAGGACGATAATCCAGCAAGAAGAGGCTATTTGCAGATTACAGTCCATTCTTGGGCTCGATCATCCAGGTGCGGAAGGGCTGATGGAGTATCTGAACCTACCACCACAGCTGTAAGTAATCTGTGGTGACCTGAACTACTCAAACACACCTGGGTGCAGAATTCCACTGATTATAACTATGTTTTAGTGCGTCGACACAAACCTCTTTAACATGTTAGTCAACATAAGCTACTAATTAATGAACATATTTAGACAACTTCATATATACTGTATGTCTATTAGAAGGTTTTTGCTTGTTTTGTTTTTTTTTGGTAAGCTGAATGTGCTATAAACATTCCACTAGGTGGCACTACAGCCGCATACACGTTTTGTTTACCAGCTGTAAAATGTCTTTTTTTAGCCTATCGACACTAATATAAATGGAATATACTGTATGGTAATAGAAATGCAACGCTGGAGGAAGTATTCAGGTTCTTTACTTAAGTAAAACTACTAATATCATGCTGTAAAAATACTTTGTTAAAAGCAATGGTTATGCAGTGAAAATGTTACTAAACTAAAGTATCTGAGTACAAACAGGAAAACGTACCTCAAGTATCACAAGTACAAGTACTCAGAGCTGGAAAATGGTCCCTGCAACTGTTATATTGTTATATATCATTATATTAGTATTGGCCTACTCATGCATTATTGTGTACTGTTGCACTTGTTTGCAGTATTTTGTACGTGACTAATGCAACTAAGTGACAGATTGTTTGCTTCATGAGAAATGTCATCATATTGACCCAGAGCCCAAAGTGACACCTTCATAATGCTTGTTTTGTCCAATTATTATTAAAATAAATCAAAGGAAAGGCGGATGAAGCAGAAAAGATGGAACCATGAAACAAACCCATTAATTTCCTGCCAGGCAACCGGTCTTTTCAGCTCTACTTGTATTTACTCTTTGGTACTTTGATTTATAACAATGCATATTTTAAAAGTGCCTTATGTGTTTGTTTGCAAAAAAAATCTTAATCTGCAATGTAACTGCAGCTGTCAGATAAATGCAGTGGAGTACAAAGTACAGTACTACTTCCCTCTGAGATGTAGTGGAGTAGATGTGGACATTTGCATGAAAATAAAAGACTCAAGTAAAGTACAAGTACCTGAAATGTATACTTAAGTGCAGTCACTGACTAATTGGACTTTGATATTCCAGTATTGTACTGTTTCTTATTTATTAATATCACATACTTTATCTCCAGATATCCTCCTCACTCAGCCTCTCCAACTGTGTCTGACCCTGATCCATGTCGTCAGTAAACTGTCTCATGTTTACTGTGGTAGCAACATCACAAGCCTCCCTCAACCCCAGTAGCCACAGGAAGGATGCTAACGGGAACAAAAAGCTATATTTCACTTTCTGTAAGGTTTAATGACTTACCTGCTCATTTAAAGGATTATTCCCAAAAGAAAAAATGTGTAACTTTCACTTGGCACTGTTGGACACCACTGAACAATTTAACACAAATGAGTTTCATTTGACTAAGAGAACTTTATCTGGACATTCCACTCTTCTATCTAACAATAGGTGTTCAACAAATAATGTGACCCTATTGTATAGCCCAAATCCTAACTCTATGTATTAAAAACCAGTGTAATCCAAACTCTAAATCAAACTAAATGTCTTTTGACTGACTTTCACATCCTTGTGAATACCAAAAGACCTTTTATTGACATTTCCTGATACTATGTTGATTATTAATAGTGGACTTTCCAAATGAAGTGTAAGCGAACCCTCTACTGTATTTTGGTAATAACCCTGACAATGCTTGTGGCTCACAGGGCTGAATTGGTTACAGGAAATGTGTAGCAACAGCCCAATGGCAAAATAAGGAGATTGCATTTCTAGGAATCTGGGACCATTATATGAGAATCTGTCTCAGCTGAAACAAATCACATATTTCCTGTAAATCACACTGAGTACCAGTCAAAAGCTTGGACACACTGATCCACTGAACTGAATGATAGTGTTTCCAAATGTTTGTTGTTCAGTATTTGCAGTACACTATCCAAGAGCTCTTTTTGAAAGAAGTAAAGTCCAGTGAATTTGACCAGTATAGCAGGAAGAACATTGCATAAAGTATTTGTCAGTAATATATTTTCTTGAATTCCAAAAAAACCATGCAAATAAATGAATGATGTCACCAGGATTTATGCAAGAAAAACATTTATTTGATGATTTTTAGAAACAAGTGAATAACAATAAATAGTTCAAAATAAATAGTCTAGAATAAAACAAATAGTCTTAATAAATAAATAGCATAACACTTCAACATCTGCATGTTAAATATAAATTACATGACCACATACAAAATAATATGTACCACTAAAAAGTTATAAAGTAGACTGAACTGTTTTCCTTCACAATAAGATGATTTGATTGTTACTGTAGTTTATGCAGTTTCTATGTAAAGTTCTGTATAGCTGTCTTAAATTATTCTTGTTTTAGAGCTCAATGAGAGTTTAACTTGTGTGCTTGCCAGAGTTCAAGTATCCAATGACTCTGTTGATTGTGATGGTGCGAACGTAGAAGCCCTTCAGGACTTTGCAGAGGTTCAGTCTTTCATCGTAGGTGCTTTGACTCTCTGCAGCAGCCTTTAAAAACAAGAGACAGCTATGATGAAGGCCTGATTGCAGCAATAAATTAAATTATTATGTATTTTGTTTAATTCAATCTTTAAAAGAAAAATATTTAGTTATGGCTACAATTTTGAAAGTAGAGAGATTTCTGTTAAAAAAACCCCATTAATTAAAAAAAATTAATAAATTAAAATTATTTTTGATTCACCACTGTGACACTTACCTGCTCTGAGGCCAAGTCTCTGGGTACAGACCACATGAAGCAGTTCTGTTGAGAGCAGACAGTTTACTTTTAACACCAAGCTGTAGTACAACAGTTGTAGCTACTAATGAAATCATTGGGGATTCAGCTCAAGACGTTTCTTTTGTAGCATCTCATAAAATCCTCCAGTTTTAGGCTTTCATATGAATTTATCATTTATTATATTAATATGTCATATTGAAAACATAAAGCAGCCTGTAGAGGGCGAGTTTCATTGTTATCTCCTTGAACCATCACTGTACCTCCATGAGTTCTCTGAGGCTGAACATAGTTGGGCCAAGCAAACTGGCAGAGTTTGGCTGAGCAGCAAGAAACTTGTAGTAGTGTTGCAGATCCTTCCCAATGTTTGTCAGACATGACTCCTACATGACAAAACAGCAACGTTGTCTAATGTGTATATTTTAGAGATTTGACTTAAATTATTTGACTTACATTTGTAGGCTGTCAGAAACATATTTTCAACATAGAAAATGAAGATAAGCGAAATAATATAAAATATATTATAAATAGCACTTTGTCACAGACACAGAGCACAACATACCTGACTGAATTCTGATCTAGCGATTCCATAGCATGTTGATTCCTGTGGGACGAGTACAGTAAGATTTGAAGTAATCAGAGGCACAGAAGTGTGTCTTCAAAGGCAACACATTAAAATATAATGTTATAATAATTTCTGAATATTTCACCATGGCACAAACTTGAAATACATCTGTGTGGAAAATTTACCTTTGGTGCACACACTGATGCTGTGTTAGTCTTCATATTCAGTGTCACACTCTGCTCCATGCAGTTGATTCCACTGAACAGGTTTTTCTGTTACAAAGAAAAGATTTTTTTAAAACTGTAAATCAAAGACATATGAAAGATGGCAGTGTAGAAATTCATCTTCGTCCAGTTTTGCAGGCCTACCTGTGTGAGAGCATCAGTGATGTTCTGCAGAAGTGATCGTGCGTATACAACACAGGAGTCTGTCATCGGTCCTTTAGTCATCACTGGGAGAGCCTGGCTGACCTGCCACAGAGGACAGCTGAGCATCACAAGCAGCAGTGCAGGAGTGGAGTCTATTAAAAAAAAGAACAATAGAGTTACATTAGTAAATCCTGAGTTTCAACTACTTTCTTGCAAAGTGAAGATACTGTTCATTTATTATGCCTTATACTTACAGAGCTGGACGAGTGGCATCTTGGATAAGATTGTTGATTCTTAGTGAGTCTGACTGAACTCAGCCAGTGCTTTATATCCTAAGTGATTTAGGGATTTCCCTTATTGTAAAGAAAAAAGTGTTGTCACCTTACTGTAAAGTGAAAGCACAAAGTCAGTGTTATGTAATTTCCTTTTCTCCCTGTATATGGTACAAGTGTTTTGGTGAAACTGGAATTAACACCAACAATGATGAGGGAAAAAGACCTATACATCTTGAGGTTATCTTCACACTGATGACTATTGACAGTGGTGGTCACATTTCCAAAGAGGGCAGAGTGAAAGCATAATCCTGGGACAGTCATCTGTCATTTGTCCAGTATCGGCCATGTTCAGAATCAGAATCAGCTTTATTGGCCAGCTGTGTTGGACATACGGGGAATTTCACTCTGGTACAGGGGCATACAGTGTATGTACAATGTTCTTCTGTAAGGCAATAAAAAAAGAAAAAAAAACACTGACCACAGTTTGTAGAGGATCTGGTGGAATTTAATTATATAACTTTTGTGATTTTTATAATAAATTTATGACATTTAGGAAAAACTCTTAAAAAAAGATTTAAACATTGTCAGTGTAAGTTGTTTGGCTACTAATGATTTAAAAAACTTACTTTTACTAAACAGATTTTGTTAGAATAATGAGATTTTTTTTTCTCCTTTTGGCTCAGTTACTTTTTAATTTAAAAAAAACATTTTAGTAGTTTATTTGTATTGTAGTCCCCCCTATCAGAGTTGGTTCTCTCTTGCTTGTGGTAATGTTCACAAAACTCCATTACATAAGTGTCAATCCAAGTGTGAAGGCATGCACATGTAGAGAAACTTGACTGCATCCATTTGTGCATGCCCATGACTGAATATGTAAATGAGCAGATCACTTCTGCATTTTTGCTCAATTTTTATGTTCTTTTATGATTTAGTTTTCCAGTAAATCACATCAACTCATGCATATTTAGTTGAAACATGTTGTGCAAACTAAATGGTGAGAGATCTGGGCAAATATAGACAAAGTTCACACACTTGAAACATTTATTATTGTATTATTATTCTATTTTCTTTTCTTACAATCATTACATTACATTTATCAATGAGGCAAACTATCAAAAAAAGAAAGTGTAACTTGTGCTAAAAATGACATTCTGAAAAAGCTGAGTGGAAACATTTAAGCACAGTCACACAAACAGATGTTCTTCATCCTTTAATAAAGTATCTTTTATCATTATGTCCATAAACCTTTTAAACAGATAAAATAAATATATGTTTAAGCTGTGATTTATTAATATATTTCTTTCATCCTTTTTTAGCATTGGTAAATTGAGCATAAGAAAAATCACACTGCAAATGCCTCCAGCTTTTGTTTTCTATCTGTATATGTTAACGCAAAATCATTTTGATGAGAACAAATTGGTCTGAATAGAGTTTGAAATGTTGTCCCATATAGCTCTAAATTCATCTGTAAAGCAGGTGGGAACTGTAAGATCGATTCCGTGTCTAAATGATCCCTACAAGACCTCTGTGAAACTGCTGCAGCGTTTAAACACCACTGTGAAGCTAAGCTACAAAGCAGTACAGTGTCTGTTGTTTTCTATTGCAATGGCTCAGGCAGTCGATGTTGAATAGTGAATTCTAGTGTTAGACAGTGATGGCGTGGTGCTCTTTGTAAAAGGAGCATTACACAGATAAACACGGCAGGTCTACAGATGAGCTGATCAGTCTCCTCGATCACTATAGAGCTAAAGTTTGCCAGTCATTCATTCAGTGTGGTCCCAGGTAGTCATCATCCTTTTTTCATTAACATACATGAGTGTACCATGCAAAATCATAAAGAAGTAAATCAGGGTTGGGGATGCAATTAACTCAAAGGGATTATCCTTATTCTGTGAAATATGCTCTGAATAACGGTGCTAAGTGGAAGTGAAAACCCTGCACAAACTCAACTGAGTCAATACTGAAAGCAGTGATCACTCAGCTTCTATAAGATGTCCTGTGGTGTAATATACACACACTGTATTTTAATACTATATGCTGTATTCAGCTCTCCAGAAACAGCCAGCACAGATGGAATTTCATTAGCAACACTATTAATAATCAATGAAGCGGTGGGTTGAATGGCGTGCAGGTGAACACATGTATAGACTGGGTGTTTATTTAGAGACAGCTTTCTCTGCCTGGTTCCGCTGATGGCTGTGAGTGTGCCTGCCAAAACACAGACAAGAAGGAAATTCGAGAAGGCACAGGGATAGTAAATGTCCAAATACAGCTTATACGTACACATCTTTGCCAGTATTTGCAGAGAGGAAGTCAAAGAACAGACAGAAAGGTGGGAACTTCACCTGGTGAGGTCCTCTATGTCCACCAGCATGGCATCCTGCTCCACATGCAGCTCATCCCTCATCAGCAGCAACTGCACCAGCTCCTCATTTAGACCTGTGTTAGATTATAGATGCAATTCACTAAGACTAATGTTGACTGTGTCATTATAAGGGAAAAGGGGAAATGTAGGAGCCTGATCTGTAAGAACTGTTAATACACATGCATGTTTTGAACTATAACCTTTAAATTCCAGTTTTTTAAGGGTGATTGACTGTTAGGTGTTTGAATATTTTAACATTAGTTTCATATTTCAGAGCAGCTTTGTAGAGGATTGCTTTAAGAGAAAAAGTAGATTTAAATTTAAAGTTCTCAGTGTACTTCTTTGACCAATGCTAGTTTTTAAAATGTGAGATGGTAAAGATAAATGTCTGCTACCTGCTAAAGATGCCACTAAAATTGAAAGATGGCAAAAACCTGTTATTTGGACATGAGGTTTGCTGTGCTTATCAATGTGTGTGTGTCTATCTCGGTATTTGTACTTAACGTATGTGTCTGTTCTACTCACTCTGAATCTGTGAGTGTAGGTCATTTGTAATGACTTGCAGCTGTCCAAGATTCATGTCCCTCATGTCCACTCGCCTGAGACTCCTCTTCATCAAACCCTCGCTTATATGAGGCAAATGGAGAAGCTGCGTATATAAGCACACATAGACAGATAAATTATTGTCTATCAAAATGTGCAAAATGGCCCAAAATGGAAAGAAAGACAGTGTTATTCAGTAGTGATCAAAGCCCACTGGATCTGTGTATCTATCTGGGTTTACAAATGTCCCTTATCCATTAACAGCAGGACACATTTTCTGTTCTTTTGTTTACCAGTGTCAGGGGTTTTCTGTTGGTCACGCACATCCACTTTAAAACACTGATTGACCTTCTTCTCAGGCCAATGTAGTAAGTCCCTTATATAATCCTCATTGTGTTGCGTTTACTGTAACAGCAATGTACAGTCATTCTAGTTCTATCCTTCCAAATTGCTGTGATTATTTTAATTGCCCGAATCATCTTCAAAAATGAATTTTTTTCACAGATGGATTAAAGACCTTGGCACACAGACACACAAATCCTCAATGACTAACCAAATCGGCCACAGGTGAACGTCTGTGCAGTTGGATTTGCCTCTCCACCTCCACCTGCATGCGGGCCATGGGTCGAGCTAGAGCCAGCGCCACCCGGGCCTCCTCCTGCAGTCTTCGCTGCACCCGCCAGAACCCGCTGCAGTCGTCCAGAGGGTCCGAGTCCTCCTCTGCTGTGTCCCGGTCCGATAACGAAGAGCTCTGCTTGCTCTGGAAAGGAAGCAGTGTTAAGTGACATAGTGATGCAACAGTCGGTGTGCATTGTAAAAAAAACAACAACAAGCAGAGTGGGATGAGACAGAAACAAACATTTAAACAACACCTAAACAAAAACACTGAGATAGTACTTTCTAAGCTGTGCATACCACAGGTGACAGCGGCGTGTCGAGACTGGTCTCCGTCCTGCTGTCCTCAGCATCACTGTCCTTGTCGCTACTGCTGTCATTAACAAAACACACCTGCAGGTTCACTGCACTTTGCAGCCTGAGAAGAAAAACACAAAGAGCGAAGAACATGAGAGAGGAGATACTGATCTTTAGTCAGAGATGCCAAAAATGTCTTCTAGTTATAATGAAACCTACAGGGAGAAATAGGAAATTACTGATTGATTGCACAAAATTAGTTTACACTCCAAGACAAACACCAGTGAAATGAAAGAAGCCACAATATGTATGACTTTGGAGGAATGTAGGGCTTTATATTTATCCTCAACAAGATGACCGTAAAAGACATTCAACAAAATTCTGCTTATTTAATAGAGAAGAAAGGAGTGAAAAGCAGAAAGGTCAGGAACAACAAATTTGCAGAATTTAAAATGAATAATACCAAACCCATTTAATTTAGGAAACAACAAGCAAAACTATGATCAGAATGTTTGGTAGCTCTCTCTGTGCTGCACTGTACATCATGTGTCAGATCCCATGGGGAATGAACCTGCTGGATTTTTTTGTACAAGAAGAGCACTGTTGTCTTTTCTTTGCTAAATAAGCCAAGGTATTTATTTTTCTAGCAAATGCTGACACGCATGCTGACATGCATTCTCTCCAACACTTTTAAAGGGAAGGATAAGTAACCACAAACAAAACAAAACATTGTTCTTTGGTGAACCACTAAGTCTCAGGCTGTTTCTCACGGTTTAGGTTAGTTCCTTTGTTCTAGCCAAGGGAAATATTAATGTCAGAGCATATAATTAGATATAATCATATAATGTTGTACTGCCAGTGTTGTATTGACAGTTCTGGGAAGACCCTTTACTGTTTCAACATGACTGAGGTCAAAGTTGGTGTGGATAAAATTGTGACCTCAACCCAATCCAGTCTTTTTTAGGATGAACTGGATCAGCTTCACTGTGGGACCTTAGCTCCCAACATGCACACTCAGCCTGACCTCACTAATGCTCTTGTAGCCGACTCCCTGCAGCCAGGTTCCAAAATCTTTTGGAACGCCCACCAAAAGAAGAGGAGGCCATACAGTAGCACCTGAATGCCCACAGTTTTGGATTTACAATTATATGTTGAGGTGTCCATATACTTTTAGCTATGAATGACGTCAGTAAGGTAACAAGCTGTGATCTAATCATTAATGAACAAATGCAACTGAAAGCTTGAAAGAAACAGCTAAAATTACAATGATAACATCAGTCCCTCTGCAGCAGTTACACAGAAGCCACTGAAACCTCAACCTCAGCCTTCCTAAGAGCTAAAAATACCATTCATTGAATTCCAAGTCATAATACTCTGACTGAAAGAACCAAACATAAAGTAACCTCCCCATTACACTAGGATGAAAACAATACCTCATACAACATCTTTCAAACCGGAGAGAGAGGAGTTGGAATTTCCCCCATTCTCAGCCCCAGAGCATGCTGCTTTACCTCCAGTGGAGGTCACATGACCCCATATCTACCAGTCACATCTGTGGACTTGTATCAGGAACTACTTCTTCTTTCAGGAGCATTTTAGCCCACAGACAAAACAGTACTTCCTCCAACAGCAGCACTGGGGGAAGGGAGGACAGTCCCATTGTTTAATATGAATGCCCCCTCAATAAATGTAAAGGTCATAGTGACAACGTTTTTGGAGGTCAAGGTTGTCATGAAAAGAAAGCAGAGCTGTGTTGTAATTGTAGTGGTTCGGTCTGGTTAACCATCGTACATGATGTAATGCAACTCTTCTCATGGCTCGTGTGAACGTGCTCATTTCATGTTTGTGTGACTTCCTTTTGTTTGATTTTACACGTCAAACCTACTTTATGTCACATTCCATATTTATATGTATAATTATTTTTGTAATGAAGAGAGACAGTCCAAAAAAATTTTAAGAAGCTTAGTTACAAACTTTACAAAAAACGTCTGCACACCTGAACAACAAAAAAAGCATGAACTGTATTGTACTTTTATTTAATATAGGTTAGTGCACTAAGCAAATGAAAGATGAAAGCACACAAATCTATAATAAATAAAGCAAGAAAAATATTTAAAGATATGACATGAAACACAATCACCTGTTTGGATTTAATGGATTTTGTTGCAGTTGGTAACCCAATTTTCACACTTCCAGGTTGCAAGGGAGAGCAGACGTTTACTGCTCTTCTTGTCTGTTCTATGATTTTTCACATCTTCTACATGTTCAAGTCTTTGAACAAATTCTACAACTATTAAAATGCCTCCAAGAGGGAAAAGAGCTAATAAATCAGATGCGAACGAGGATGTTGAGGCAGAAGAGGATTATATTTCAGCGGCGCAAGTAACAGAGATGTTGAGTCAGCAGAAGCAGATGTACACCATACTGTTGAGCCAACAACAAGATAACTTCAAAGGTTTTGTGCAACTACTTATGGAGACAAATAAGAGACTCGACGACATGACCAGAGAAATACAGGAGATAAAAACAAGTTTGCAGTTTACCCAGCAAGATGTGGATGTGATTAAAGCAGCCACGGGTGAACAGAAAATACAAACCAAGGAAACAAGGGATGATGTCTACAAA